GTGTTCCATCTCATTTCCCTTTGGGGTTGCTGTAGGTGATCTGGAAGTCTGGTTTTGAGACTTATTTACATGTTTTCTCATTTTGACTGGGGTGGGGTGGGGTGGTGCTTTTGGCACCTGCGTGGCTCACCTCCTCTGAGCTGGAAAAGGTGGCCCAGGGGCCGAGAGCGGCAGTAGAGATGGTGGCCCAAAAGCCCCTTCCTCTGGGCTGGGAGTGGCCTGATAGTTGGTGGCCAGGAAGCCCCTTCCTCTGGACCAGGAGCAGTGGGATGGCAGCTCAGAAGCCCCTACCTCTGGGCAGGAGTTCTTTAAATGCTGAGAACTTGATTAGCTCCAGTACAGTGGTCTGGTGGTCCATTGTCCTCTGCGTCTTTGTAGTGTGGAACCAGATGTCTGTACAGAGAAGAGACCAAAGGAGCAGGGGGAGTCCAGCAGATTGCTGCCGGGGCACAGGTTGATTCAGTGTTTTCAGTGTGACTGGTGACCTTGGGACTGTGTCCGCAGACCTGCCTGTCTGCAGTGGGCTGATTCGGTCCAATTCCCCAATTTCTGACCCAAGGAGACTATAAAAGATAATGTTTATTATGACTTCTAGCCACTACATTGCTGAGTAAATTGTTATATAGTAATAGACAATAGAAATATTGATGAGATAGAATATATTAAAAACACAATATAGTATGTTTGAGAAACACTGATAATAAAGACTATCAGACTGTATGGCTACTGATTTGAGGAATGGATACATCAGAAAAAGGAAATAAAAATATTTCCAAAATTATCACTTAAAACTATGTGTAGAAGTCAGTCCTCTTGATGATATATGAAGAGACTCTTACTTCTTGCATGCAACTGGAGGCCAGAAAAAGCTGTGGATCAAGCCAAGAATTTAAATATAAGAGTAATAAAGTTCCCAAAGACATTAAATTTTCAAAGGTTTGAGTTCCACAATACCAGAGTCAGAAGTGTGGATGTGAAGCAGTAGGATGCTGAGACTTGGATTGGGTTACTGGGATCAATGCATTAAAACTACTTGAATCTCTACATTCTCCTGAATTCTTTGGGTCTGCAAACTGACTCACCCTCCTTGTTCAAGGCTAGTGCTTCTCCTTTGTCTGAAAATGATGTAAAAGTTCTTACTTTGTAGACCAAACCATCCCCACACACACAGAACTCCATGATCTACCTCCCAATTATGTCTTCTGAGACAATAATTGGAATTGAGGCTCAAGATATTTCAGTCAAGGAATGAACAAGATCTGCCAAAGAAGGAAAAATCCATGTTTTAAAGGCATGACAGGGTCATCAACATGTACAAACAAATGGCAGGTATGACAGCTAAGCTGGTTTGTCAACTTGATCAACTTCGTTCTGCCAAGAGGATTAGTAAAACACACTTTGTAGTGTGTCTTTTTCACATATCTGGGTGTGTCATGATATCACTTTGGGGGTCTACATTTGGTCTCTTACCCATTCCTCTCTGACACTTTTTCCCCTGCTGTGTGTTCAGGGCACCATGAACTAAGCAGCTTTGCTCCACCATACCTTTCTACCATGATATTTCTGCTTTGGAACCAGCCAACAATGATCCTATTTCCTAGAAACAATGAGCCAAATTAAACCTCTCCACATTTAAGTTATGAATTCAGTTATTGGGTTCCCACAGTGGGAAAACTGACTCATACAGCAAGAGAGTATAATACAAGACTGAATTCTGAGAATGATGGACTAAGGTTGGTGGAATATAATGTTGGAAAAAGAAAAGTTTATTACACAAGAGTTCATGCTACAGAAAATGATCTTAGGAGATAAAGTTAACATACTTCTGAGATAGAATTGGAAACCTTTTGGACATTATGGCCCATCATAAGTGATCTACATTTGTGAGGGTATTCTGGCAAAAAAAAGGAAGACATAACTTCTAAAAAGCTAAGAATAAGAGGGAATGCTAATTGAGTACATTTCAGAAGGCTGGAAAGCCCACTAGACTCTTTTGTAAGAGGCCAAAGGTTAATTTCCCAAAATGATGAGGAATGTGCAAGTCAGAGGATAGCCAGTATCACTGAGAAGCTTAATAGTGACTGTTGTATAGGTCAGGACAGATGACAAGACTCATGTATAGATCTATCCTCCCTGGGCCAGGGATTTAGCTCAATGGTTCCACCACCTGCCTCGCAAACAGAAGGACCTGAGTTCAATCCCCAGTACAAAAAAAAAAAAAAAAGAACTATCCTCCCTGATAGCAATGGGGGATGGAAGATGAAACAATTACAGAAGTTGGAAGCAGTTATTCTAATGAACAGCAAAATTGAAGCAGTGTCTGGGACTACGTCTAATAGTTATTAATATGTTTGTTTTTTACTTTTTCTAAATGAATAATGAGAGCTCAGGTCGGAAATCTGGCATATGACAATGGAGTATTGAATAGAAAACCAATACCAGGATGGTATCTTAGCTAAAGCAGATTAATAAGCCTCAGATACATCATATATGGCCACCGACCACATGAATGCATTGTCTTCTAGTTAGAAAAGATAATCAGGAAGAGTACACATTCACTGGAGGTGCACAAGAAAATATATGCATAATCTTCATCCTCAGGTCTGTATTAACTTTCCAATCCCCTGTCATAACATAGTACAAAGTACCTGGGCCACAAAGTTATTCTTCAGAAATGGTGTTGTTCTTCTGTATTGACGATGGCAGATAAGTTAGACTGAATGTTAACAAGTGGCAAGGATGCTGGATATCTTAGTATGAAATATAACATTTGGGGACTGGAGATTCAGAAATCTGCTGCTGTATTGAAGATCTTTGAGATACAGTGATCTGGGACATGCATAACTTCCAATCCAGTATAAAGGACAAATTATTGCATCACACACTTGTCATCTCTAAAAAGCAAAAAGTGGGTCTCCAGAGCTCTGCATATGCTGTGTAAAGAACACATTCCATGTTTAGGTATCATGTTACCTGCTCACTGAACCACATGCCAATAGGTACTACGGTAAGAGAAGTATACGTGCAGGGCAACGATCCCATGTAGATTTTGTAGTAAACCCCAGTGAGAATATCATGACATGGATGCTTGGGAATCTGGAGCAAAGTCAGACAGTTTACAAATGAGAATTATATAACTCTTGAGTTTTAGATTTTGGCTTGCTTTTAGGCCATAGTACATATATACAAAGTACCTAATCTCATAAAGTGATGCCTTGTTAATAAATTTGATGTGATCATCACTTCACAACATATTTCTCCATCAAATGAAATTTTGCACTTCAAATATATATGATTTTATTTGTCAGTTATACCTTAGTAAAGCTGAAAAAAGAATAAATGACTCTCTTAATAGTAGTCAAACTGTTCATCCACAGCCCTGGTTCCTGCACAGGAGATGCATAAATGAAATAGTTTGATGAGATGAATGAGGGATCTGCATGGAACAAAAAGCCCAAGCTCTTCCTCACTGAAGTTATCTAGCTATTGCCACTGTCAAATGTCCAATATGCCAGCAAGAGAAACCAAAACTGAGTCTTGTATGTGACATTTGATTTCAAGGAGAATAGTTCTAGTGTCTGGTAATGATATTGGGTCTCTTATATCATTAAAGGACTAGAATTCATCTAGAGCATCAACATGCATTCTCAGTATGGGTTTTCCTTCCTTACTTACAAGACTTACACTGTTAACTAAGAGTATACAAAGTTTGACCACCAACATGTGAGCCTACAAACTATCATATTGGTCCAAGGGACACTCTTCAGCTAAAAAAGTGTGGTTAATGGATTCATTGGTAATTATCACATATTGGTCCACCCAGATGTCTTGATAGATTGATGGAAGAGTGCAGTTAAGGAGCTAATTTAGAGATGAAACACAAGTAAGATGAAACCCAACCCATCATGATTCAGCAACCTAAATCAAAAACTATAATATGCTCTGTCTTTGATGTATACAATTAAATCCAATATAGGAATGGATCTCATGACCATCACTCCCACTGAATTGGAGGAATCTATGCTTCCTATAACTGCATGTTTAGAGGGCTTGATATTCAGTCAGAAATGCCCTCACCAGCATTATATTAAACTTCAAGCTGCAGTGGCTGCCTGACCACCTTGGGTTTCTCACAAAAGACAAACAGAAAAGAAAATGATTATGCTAGCAAGTATGATTAATCTTGATCATGAGGAACAGGGACAAATCAGGGGCAGGAAAGAATATGTTCGGTATCCATGTGACATTCTTTGGTTTCCCTTGATAGTCCCTTGTGAATTTTGATGATAAATCAAGAAGTGAAGCAGCCCTGGACTGCGAAAGGCATGGTGACCATGAGATCATATCTCTAAGAGATAAAGAGCCTGGGCCATCATCACAAGGTAAGTCACCTAGCCCAGCATACGTGCTAAACAAGAGAATTAAAAATGGATGATAGAGATGAGATGAGAGATGATGAGCATCAGTTGCAGCCCCAACAATGGTTACTGCAATTCTGGCTGTACATCATCCCACTAACATTCCTTTTAAGTTTTTCCAGGAAAATATGTGCATCAGAATTGTGAAGGAGTTGTTCCCTGGAAGTGAATACAAGGAATACTAAGGCTTTTCTCTATTGAATGCAACGGTGCACTCTCCATATTTTTCTTCTTCAGTAAATCACTTGGTCCTTCAGCTACTGGAAACTGACATCAGGTAAAGATCACCTCCTAACTCAAGATCATGCTTCCTCTCCAGGACCCTCCTTCATCCAATGACTGTATAATGCTGCAATATAAAGAACTAGCTCCCTTTTCACAATATGTGACAACTCTAAAGGCCATCTCAGCTCTAGAGCCATTCAGAAGATGGGCTGACATAGTTGCTGTGATTGTCTGATACTTTCTTCACTTTCACAGATGTTGATTCTAAGAGGACTCCAATAAAATCCTTCACACAAGTCTCCATTTCATAGCTTCTTTCTCTCAGATCCCAACGTGCACCATGGGATTAGATATTATTAATTTTATTAGGCATTTAGTATACCTATGTTAGTTTAACTATATCCCCCCCAAACAAACCATGAGATTAATATTAAATAAACCCAGTATAGATAAGGAAATTGAGGCTTAGAGAAATCTAATACCTCACTCATCATCACACAGTCTCCAGCAGGTAGAGTTTGGTTTTCAGATAGGTCAGCCAACTTCTCAAGCCTGTGAAGTATGAATAACTAAGTATTACTCCAAGTAGCAATCATATGAGCAAAGAATAAAAGAGATGGTTGATAGGTAGATAGATCAATTGATAGGTAGATAATAGATGATTTACACAGAGTATCCCATGAAGATAGTAGGTGTATGAAAAGAGGTAGGCACCTTGGTGCATGAGGATAGGAAGGCAGAGATAAACCTGAAAAAGATAGAAGAGTTCAAATTGGGATAAGTCAGGAATGGCGAAGTAGACATGGCTCTATCCCAAAATTGTATTGAACCAGTACTAATATCTCTTATCCCCCAAAAGGAAAAATAGTATGGCTTCTTGACAAGGCAAAGGCTAATGGGAAAGTTACATTTACCCCTTTAATTCTGTAATGTGTTCACCACATATGAGAAATGGCAGGGGATGGAGGAAGAAGTACATGGCAATAGCATAGAAAGAAATCCAAAACCCTCCTCCCCAGGGATTGTGGGGTGAAGGTGCCAGTTGTGGAATGTTGCACTCCTACCCTCCTGTGTTTATTCAGCCCTGGGGCTGAGGTTTGCCTTAGAGTTGTAACCTTTATAAGGGGTTTGTTTAATGACAGAATTATTCAACTACATACCTCACCCCAATTAGAAAAAGGCTGTTTGGATTCTAATTGGCCTTGACACAAGTCTTCTTAAAGAGATTCCCCAAGAATTACAGAGCTACTTTCAGAGTTTGACTTGGCCAGGAATATGAAATGTAACACGATTTTTTGAATTTTCTGTACTTACCATGAAAAGACCAAGCCACAGGTATCAAACATGCTTTGTTTTTGTGTTATAATCACATTACAAATTGAACATTTCCACATGTGCAAGTTGGCAAATCCAAAATGAATGATTATTAAGATGGTAATTACATATATCAGGTATATATGGCTGACATATTTTCACTCATACAAAGTGTATTTTATCAAGTCCCTAGACATCCATGTATAGTGTGTTTATAGGATGTAAAACCATCATCCTATATATAAACCAAAAATTTATATTTTTAAACAGTTATTGCCAGGTCAGGTGATAAGTCGACATAATATTTGGAAGGTGTAAATACCAGGAAGGGATAGAGATTCCTAAGCTAACCATGAGGAAATGAATAATAATAATAATAGGTTGAAATAAAAAAGAATATAATTTCAAATAAATATTAGCAGGGAAAAATAAGCTTTCTGGCTATAATAACTGTAAGGTTATGAAATAATTCCTAAAGGAAGTAAAGATCTCTTCCTTACCCAGGACTTTGGAAATGAAGCATGCCTTCTTGGAGTCCCTTCTAATATGCAATTTTGTTTGGGGAGTGGAAGGAGATCTTTTTCATTTCTATTTTCTTTGACTTGATATTAAGGGAAAATCCGCCCCCCCATCATGTAATTACCCACTAAATGTTCACCAAATCACCTTTGACTGCAATTCTGCATTTACCATGTAGTGAATGTTGTATCTCCTGTTCTTCCACAGCCAAGAAAAATCCCACAGTCAAAGTTTGTAGCAACCAGGAATTTCTTTAGTTCAAGCCCAGCTTGATCCTGAGGCCACTTGGTGGTCTTCTACTCATTTCTAAGCATTTCTCCTTGCTACTGCTTTGCAGATTTTTCTAAGAAAAGCAACTCACTACACTAGTCAGAATCATTCTTCTCATTCGCCACAACCCTAACTGCTTTCTATCAACAGAGACTGTTTCCTATTTCTCAGAGGGAGTGAAGAGTTTAAAATATGAGCACTGTCAAACTTCTCTACCTAAAAATTCATCTATAATTTCCTTCCTTCAATTTAGAGACTGAAGCCTTATAGCTGCTGAGTAAAAGAACCATTAAAAAGATGCCTTCCACACATGTAAATAAATATGCTTTTCTCACCCATTTTTGTGGAGTGTGCTCCTCCAATCAGTTATCTACAGGGCGTAGAACACTACTCATGAACACACTGTAAAGGCCCAGAAGCAGCCTAAGGTAGATGTTAGGAGGAAAACAGGTGTGGATCTGTAGCCTTGGTAGACACACATATATGTGAGTGCAGAGCTCCTCATAGCATGAAGTTATGCAAGTGGGAGGGAAAAGGAGGAGCTTTTTTAAAGGCTGAAGAGGGTTGTAGTTCATTTCTCCAAGTTACCATATCCAAGAGTAGAACTCTGAGGAATTCATTAGTTTGAAATTCAAGCCTAATCTTCCAGGTGGTTATACAGACATTTGTATCATATTAGATGCTACTATCGTTTGAATAAGCTCCCTAAAAAGCATGTATTGAAAACTTACTCCCCTGTGCAGCCATGTTGGCAATTAGGGCCAAATGAGGGGTCATATGGTGCTGAAATCTCTCCCCTCATGAATGGATCGATACTATATCATTATCTCAGCAGTAAGTTCTTTTTTTCTAGAGTGAAATTTTCATGAAAGGACCAGTTTGGCCCTCTTGTCTCTCTTTCCCTTAGGTCATGGAATGACACAGCAAAGAGGCCCTCACCAGATGCTGGCCCCTTGATGCTGGAGTGGCCAGTGTACCCAATGATGAGAAATTTCTTCACTTTGTAAATTACTGAATTGGTGCTACTCTGTTATATCAGCACAAAACATACTAAGACAGGAGAGTAGAACATATATAACAGTAATTTCCATTGGTTTATAGATGTAGGGTATTAGACATACGTGTGTTGCCTCCATTGCAACTCTTGCCCGAGGCCATAGAAATATATAATGCAATCTGCCTCAAGCCAGTTCCCCCTGGCTTCCTTTATACAGTAGACCATTCCCTTGCAACACCTGTTAAAATCATCAATCATCCTTTTCTGTTTCTTTCCATTTGACGCTGTTGATCAATCCCCCCTCAAAATTCTCTTCCCTCTACACCATACAACTTTCTCCCAGTACCAGCCCCCTACTCTCACCATTCATACTTCTCTTTCTGACCTCAGTCATTGAAATGGAAGTATTTCCTAGAATTTTATCCTTGCACTAATTTTCTTCTCATTTAATGTTCTTTTCTATCATTTATAGATTATTTACTTCCATTTATATAATTCATGTCAATAGATCTCAGCTAGATTGATTTTCCCTTTATCCAGACAATTCTTTTCAACTTCTCATTGCATAATAGCATCAGAATGGGTCACATGTACCTCAGACTCAAACTGGCCAAAATGGAACTACTTTTTGCGTTCCACTCCTCAACATATACATTTCTCCTATTGTGTTCCTCATTCTATGAGCAGCACAATTTTCTACCTAGTTCACCAAACAGGAATCTGAAACATATTCTCAAATATTCTTTCCCTTATGTATCACATCTATTAACACCACTTTTTAAAACCTACCTGTTACTGTCAGTCACTCTTCCTCATTCTTCCAGCCATCTCTTAAAATATTTAGATTTAATTCATATTCACCACGTCTCCCAAAATTCTCAAGTTTGGTGTGCCTTCTACTCTACTATGAAATCCTTTGGTGGTTGTGAGATCATTGTAATAGGTCAGGACCAGTTCTCTTTTTAAAATGAAATGAATAGAATAGAAGGAAGCAGAATAGAAAATTTAAGAATAAAGTCTGCATGATATAACTGCAGTTTATTGAGATTTTTGATCAATTAATATCAAGTATATAAACACATGTATACAGGTATATAGATAGAAATATGTATGTCTTTTAGTTACAATTTAAAAACCACCATTGTTTCTATAGATGGAAGCTGTGAAACTTGCAGAACCACCGAACTAATTGTTCTCTGTTAGTAGTGTTGGTCACCGCAGACTTCTCTCCTAGTGTGAGCTTTCTAAATTCTAAAGCTGGTCACAGTTCTGGCATTGCTTCATTCTTCAGTTGACCCACATGATGGCCATCCACATGATAGTTACAAATTCTAACTTCATCTGTTCTCTCTCTCTCTCTCTCTCTCTCTCTCTCTCTCTCTCTGTCTCTCTTTTTCCTCTCTTCTCCCACAGTTTCCTGAACCCAAAATATCCTCTCATGTTCTAGGATCTTCCTCAGCTTTTTCTTTTGTTCAGACTATGGCTCTCTCCATTGTCTGCTCGTTAAACTACCCACTACCATTTCAGGCTTATCTTACATGGCGTTTGGAGAGAGTCCTGAGATTTCCTTGGGTAGAATTTTGTGTGTACATCTACAAACAGTTTCATGGTAGTCAATAAAGACTTAGCATTTTTCTTCTATGTAGGAGAAAAATTTCCCCAATTATTCCAGGAACCATACATACTGAACTTTGTTTTTGTTTTTGTTTTTGGTATCGGGGATTGAACTCGGGACCTTGCGCTTTCGAGGCAGGCGCAGGAACCACTGAGCTAAATCCCCGGCCATAATGAACATTTTTATGTATTTCCTTCTTTTGTATATAACTTTTATAAAATTGTATTAACAGCTTATCAGATAGTTCTGTTTTCAAAGATTTTATTTTGTTTTTGTTTTTTCTTTTTGGTACCGGGGATCGAACTTGGGTTCTTCCACTTGCGCAGCAGATGGCGAAACCACTAAGCTAAATCCCTGGCCCTGTTTTCAAAGATTTTACTGTTAACATTGTATCGTAAAAATTTTTCCACGTTATCTAATTGATTTTGTGACATTACATTTTATAAATATCTTTAAAGTATAATATTAAAATATTTCTACCAGTAGCATATTATAATCAGACCTGTTATTTGAAAAATAAATCTGTTAATGATGTGAAGGATAGATAGAACCAAGAAAATGAGGCAGAAGCTTA